ATTACACCTGAAGTCTGAAATTACACCTGAAGTAAAAAATCAACACCTGAAGTCAATTGATGTTGCTTTCCTAAATACTGTGCTCTGAGTGACTGTGTGAACTCCCGAAATATAACACAAAAAACAAGGAATTCTGTACTACCATCTTTTCTCCCTCACCACTACCATCACCCCTGACCTTCCCTCACCACTACCATAACCCTTACCTCACCACTACTATCACCCCTCCCTCACCACTACTATAACCCTTCCCCCATCACTACCATAACTCCTACCTCACCATTACCACAACCACTACCTTCACAACTGCCATCATCTGTACCGGCACCTCCTTCACCACCATCATCATCACCACCACACCTCCCTCACCACTACCACCATCAAGAATCCCAAGAAAATTACTCGCTTGTTGGCCTCGTTGGGTCAGTGTACAGTCAGTGTCTCAGGCAGCCGATAAAAATAGGTCTGTGGAACTCAGGAAGAATGGCCAGACGTCAAGCATATTAGCAGTTTTACGCTAAACACGCCCAGTCACTCTCACGCAATCATGAAAATAAACCTAGCTTCTCTCACTCTCTGTCCTTATAACTTCCCCCATATTTCCAACAGTTCATCTTTAATATAACAGCATAAGCGTTGAGATGTTATTAAAGTCGAGTTAATATTACCGTTTATAATGTAAGCCAGTAGTGTGGTAATACCGTCAGAGGCCAAACAATAACAGGGGCGCGACCAATCAGGTGATAGAACCAGCCGTGCCTGGCTTGAAGCAACCAATAAGAGTGAAATGCGGAAGGCGCGCGCAGAACCGTGACACTCTTGAGAAGTTTGCTACGGTGCCTTGAATTCCACGTTCTAAATATTACTCAACCGAATGTGTCCAAAGCTTAAGAACGTCCAATAAATATATTTAATATCTCTCTCTCTCTCTCTCTCTCTCTCTCTCTCTCTCTCTCTCTCTCTCTCTCTTCTCCAACATATTAAAAATAAACAAAATAAATAAATAAATATCTACAACACAACAGCTAAAATTCCCATACACCTACTAAACCCGAGCTAATGGCTGACCGTCAATACTCTTTGGTGACCGCAAGGGAGTGGTGACCGCAGGGAGTGAGGGGGGAGGGGGGGAGGGGGAGGGTGTGACCGCAACTCAACCAGCCTCCCTCTCCTGACCTCCGAGACTTGACCAACAACCATTATGTGCCAACCACCAACAAGTAGAATATCATAAACGACTTGAACGTGTCAACCTACTTTCATTCAACCACCATCAATCAGTGTTGTGATCTCTAAAGTCAACCAGTAAAGGCTAATATCAACCAGAGGCGTTATCCAACTTTTAGTCTTGTCATCCGGTCAACACGCCCACAGCGATTCTCTCACCAACCACAAAACTCAACCAATTTTTCCACACACATACACACACACACACACACACACACACCGCACTTTCCTGTGATGTTAAGGCTACAGTCAAGGGCAACCAAATCACAACCAAATGTCAGTCAATAACAATAATAAAACTGAACTAGAAAAAAAAGGATTGAGACATTGGTTATTTAGTTTCAACCTGTAATCACTAGACGTCAATCCCCAAATCACAATAATTTAAGTCGTTAAACACTATCCAAAATAACCAAACACAAGAATTATGTTTTTAATAATAATCATATTGACAAACAAATCACTGAATTCAAGTACCAATCACCATCATCTCTACCATCAACCACCACCCCAACACCTCTGTACCATCAATCACCAACACGACAACTCTACCATCTACCACAATCGTCAATCACCATCTATCCGTTCAACAATCACCTTATCTACATAACTCACCTTAAAAGAATCAATCACAATACCCTACAGTTTGACACACCCTGATTTAAGAGGCTAATAACTAAACTACAATCCAGTTTATGTTATTGCGAAAAAATCTCCAACTTAATGAGGATAACAGGCGGTGATTTGTGGTTGATGGTATTAAATGATGAAATTGGTTTAGGATGGGGGGTGATAGTGAGTGTGATAGTGACGTTGATGGTGACGTTGATGGTGATGATAATTATGTAATTGATTCTAGTGAGGATGATGATGGTAATGATGATGATAATTGTAAGAACATAAATCACAGTATTTTTTTATTATGTGATTTATTGTATTGATAATGATGACAGGTAATGATGATGATGATGATGATGATGATGATAATGATAATTGATGATTCTATATCAATATAAAAATATATAAAAATAGATAAACATGTAGATATATATATATATATACACACATTTTCTTTTATCTATTACGCCACAACTCTCCAGGAGGACAAGACAGTGTCATGTTATGGTTTACTGGAGTCGAGCAACGTAAAGTTATCGACACGGATACTCGACCATCGCCAAGGGGGTCGGGGGGCGGGGGGGTCTGTCAACTCAAGCACTATCACTCTCTTTAACAAATAAAAAGTAAAATAAATGAAGAATGTTTTTTTTGACGTGAGTAAGAAGAAGTTTACCTTGATACTACTTTATTTTTCTTCTAATAGACGTTCGGTCAATCAACTTTTCCACTGGTTCATTGTTCATTTCAGCTTCTAGTTCAGCTGTTCAATTACCCAGTTACATGTTATACTACTATTATTACTCAATTAGCTGTTCCGCTTCTCAATCAGTTGTTCCATTATTCAATCATCTGTTTATCTACTGAATCAACTGTTCCACTATTCAATCAGCTGTTCCGTCACTCAGTCAGCTGTTCCACTTCGCAATATGTTATAAGAGACAGATGTAACCAAACACACAAAGAGAGATATCGGGAGATGGGTGAGAGGAAATGAGAGGAAAAAAGAAGAAAAAACTAAATATACACTAGTAGTCACAAAGGCTGTACAACAAGAGAAAACTACAGTAGTTACGCCTAAAGATGCTAAGAGGAGAAAAACTCGAAATTCACGACTAATTTCATATTAAACGAAATTTTAATATAAACATTGAAGTTTTCACTGAGATGACTTGGTAATTCTAGAGAGAGAATCAGTTCACACACACACACACTGCTGTTATTGACTTATTTCATGACAGGGATGGAGAGATAAATGTGAAAGCAGAAAGAGAAGGAGAGAGAGAGAAAGAGAGAGAAGTAAAGAAAGGTGAGAAATATTAACAAACAGACAGATAGACAGAGGATAAATAAAGAAGCAAACACACATAAAACCTAGGTCACCATAGCTTACACACACACACACACACACACACACACACACACACACACACACACACACACACACACACACACACACACGTTGTCAACAGTGGCCAGAAAATATAATGTTAGTCTCCCGTACAAAGCTAAACTGATATCCAATTTTCCCAGGATAACAGAGCAGCACCTATTCCAGATATCCTATGTCAACACTAACAATAACACAAGAACTCCATACCATATATACGTCATGAGAATCGTTTAATAATCAGTACGCATCATGAGAATCGCTTAATATAATCAGTAAACGTCATGAGAATCGTTTAATAATAATCAGTATACATCATGAGAATCGTTTAATAATCAGTATGCGTCATGAGAATCGTTTAATAATCAGAATACGTCATGAGAATCGTTGAATAATCAGTATACGTCATGAGAATCGTTGAATAATCAGTACACATCATGAGAATCGTTAAATAATCAGTATTATTATCGTACAAACTATACCCACTGTATAACATTGACGGAGATTGAGTGAAAGCGAAATGGAATCAAAATATTAAGAACCTCGATACAGTCTTGGCAACACACAGACACCTTCTTAATAACTTTCCCTCTCGATGGAAGACCAGGCGTTCGTGGCTTTTGATTCGGATTACTTTGTTTTTATTTTTTCGCCTATAAGAACGAGTATTTGTGTTTATTTATTTTTTAATGAGATGATCGATTATTGTATTTTGTTTTGAGGATTTGAGCTTCTGATGATTTTGTTTTTTGTCTTAAACGTTGTATTTGATAAAAGGATGAGGAGAGTTAACATTTGTAAACAACTACTGATGATAATTTCGGGGATAACTCTATCAATAATTGCAGCAATTACTCAAATACATCTAATGTTGTTCTTAGTCGTGGAAATAACCAAATCAATCACTGCAATGACCCAACTACTGCAATTACTTAACTACCCACGTTACTTTCACCAATAATCCAATCAATCACTGCAATGATCCAAGTACTGCAATTACTTAACTACCCACGTTAGTTCAATCAATAGCAAAAAAAATAAACCAAATCAATCACTGCAATGACCCAACTACTGCAATTACTTAACTACCCACGTTACTTCAATCAATAGCAAAAAAAATAAACCAAATCAATCACTGCAATGACCCAACTACTGCAATTACTTAACTACCCACGTTACTTCAATCAATAGCAAACAATAAATAAACCAAATCAATCACTGCAATGACCCAACTACTAACGCCACCCTTCAGCAATAACATAAAACACCTACGGTAAATAATGCAAGTCAACCCAACCATGTCAGCCCCCAACCATGTCAGCCCCCAACCACATCATACAGCACGGAATTGACAAATCGCTGGCTGCCATAAAAAAGACGAGAATAGAAATGAGGACTTACTGAACCAAACAACAAGACCTAAATAAAACAGATATGCACTTTCACCCCGTAAATAAAAAAGAAAGAAAGATAGCAGTCGCACCCACAGCAACCCCCCATCATCCCCTGGCAATTATCTAAAACACCCACATCAATGATTCCCACTGAGTAAAAAAGCAGAGTTGCGTGATGCCTTACAGTAAATCTATCTTTTCGTCAGACAGCTGAGGATGGTTCGAGGTTTTGTGAATGTGTTTCAAAATCTTTCTGTCTTAACTTTCTTACGTGTTTGTAGGCGACTGTCATTCATCGTTGTATATACATAGTGTTGATAAATTAAGATAAGAATATGCATTATGATTCCAATTGAAGTCCATTCCCTTACCTTAGTAAAGTCATGGCGAAGCACAAGGGAGATTATTTGAGAATCAAAATCAAAGCGGCACCTTCCGCAGGTAGGAGTCGGGAGAGGGAAAAAGTCCAGGTCGAGCGCCCGCGTTAGATACGGGGCGTGGACACTCACAATACCACAGGCACCGAACAGTACAAAGACTGAGACGCGACTGACACTGTTGCGCGTGCCCAGACATCAGTTTCTTCCATGTGCCACCCGCGCATGCGCGAGTGACGTCACTGTGCCAGGGAGGGGCCAAAGACTGAAGGAGACACGCCCACACAAGGAGGAAACTTGCCCAGTCAACCTTCAATGGTCATTACGCGCAACCAGGCCCTTAATCACCCCATTTTGGTCAAATGCATTGGGTTTCCTGTTTTAAAAATACAAATATTAAATAAAAAATAACAGGGCTGACAGATCATAGTATTATGACGACAAAAAAAGCGAGAATTTAACGGGAAAATCGGATTCTTTCCTGTGACCTCGACAGGCTCACGACTTTCACTCTTAGGCTGGCGTGGTAAAGGCGCGATATCTCAGCCAACGCACGCCACCGATTTCCGCCCGTAAATCTCTCTCCCCGAGAGGTAATAATAGCTTACCGTACACACTCCCCGGATCTCATACTGTTGCTGTTTTTAGCGGGAAAATGGCCAGAATTGGTTAGCGAGGAAATGGGATCGCGTCGTCGAACTCAACCTTGTGTGGACGGTTCCTTTCTTCAAATTATCTTATTTTTAGACCCGTCGTGGCTACTATGTGAGCGGCGGCTGGATTTACGGCGTTTCTTTTCTCTTTATCTCATATTTTCAAGTTAAAATATATATTTTCTAGGGAATATTTATACTTTCATTATAAGTGTTTAATTACAGTTTATTTAATTACCACGAATTTTACGTCATACACAATATGATCCGCTTAAACGGAGACTAGTTTACATAAGAGAATATATTTATAAAGGGAAAATTTAGTTAACATTTTTATGATGTGTGTGTGTGTGTGTGTGTATGTGTGTGTTCACTATAACACTCCCTCATTTTACCAACTCCTAATATAATTCCTTATTTAACTTTCACCCTATTAAATCTTTTTCCTTAATATTGATTTTAAAAAAAAAGGTCTCATTAAATCAGTATCTCATTTCTCTTAGTGTTTCTTCTATGCTTACAACTTATCCATTTACTATTATTATCAAATCAACTTTATCTGTAGGTACGATAAGAAAAAAGCCAGTCATACACACACTGTCTCTCTCTCTCTCTCTCTCTCTCTCTCTCTCTCTCTCTCTCTCTCTCTCTCTCATGACAGGCGAGACAGGTGTACCGTTAAGTAAATGAAGGAAACAGTCGACTCATACAACCCTTACGCTTCCCATGAACCAGAGAGAGAGCGAGAGAGACAGACAGGTATACTGATAGATAGACAGATAGACAGACAGGCAGACAGACAGCAAGAAAGAGAGAGAGAGAAACAGGGAGACAGAGAAGCAGACAAAGAAGAGAGAGAGAAAGGCAGGCAGACAGAGTAATAGAGATAGAGAGTAAAGGAGAGAGAGAAAAATTGAAAGAGGAAGTGAGACAGACAGAAGGAATAAGAAGAAGCCGTGAGACAGAGAAAGATAAAGAGATAAAAGATAAGAAAAAAATAAGAATAATTGGCATTAATAATAATATGAATACAAGTAGAGAGAGAGAGAGAGAGAGAGAAGGAGATAAGATAAAGAAAAGGAAAATGAAACAAAGGACCAACAATACCTTCACAATGAATGAGGAAAAAAGTTGAAGGAAAAGAATGAGTAAGAAGGAAGAAAGGAAGGAAGGAAGGAAGGAAGGAAGGAAGGAAGGAAGGAAGGAAGGAACAACTAACTATTAAATAAACAAATCAATAAAATATAAACTCTAGGGAAAATTTATTGGCATCTTAATTATTTTTTTTTACTCACAAGAAAAATAATAATCTGAAATAATAAGATACCTAACCTAACATAACCTAACCAAACCTAACCTAACCAAACCTAACCTAACCTTCAGGCTGTAATACATCCTGGTTACTGTCACATCTGTTACTCCAATATATCACTGTGTGTGTGCATGTGTGTGTGTGTGTGTGTGTGTGTGGTTCATAATCTGTAACTCTTAATGTCCGGGTATGACGTCACATATATTCATGACTTAGTATTATTGAATCCGGCGGTTTACGAGAACGCTCACACCTTACGTCACAACACCACATAAAGCGAACGGAGATTTTTTTTTCTACATCTCATCCTCCGCTTCCCACATCGGTATTTTGACCTCCCCGCGGCCTCTCATGACCTCCATCGGCCTCTCACTATCTCCCCCGGGGCGTGGGAAATAGATCAGAGACTATGGAGGTCTGTAATTCTTAACACGTCGGTGGGTGAAATTTTCTAAAGTCAAAATCACGATTAGCTCCTAAGAATGTGCAAGGACGATTATTTTTTCTCTAGGACAAACAACAACCTGTAGTTATCAATTAGATACAGAATATACAGATATTTTAACCATTACTGTACGGACACAGATGCATATAGGATGGGGAGTTCTTTTCCTAGGACAAACAGGAGCAATAAGAGAAGTAAGACATGTAATGGGTATGTATTAATTTCTTCCCCAGGACGAAGAAGACACGAGAAAAGGGTACTGTTGAACACATACACACACACACACACACACACTCCACCTCCACACAGATACAATTAAATCTAACAAACAAGAATGCAAACAGACATACACATAAACAAACAAACTACTAAACAACATAAAACAAACAATCAAACAGAAAACGACAATCGGGTCACTTGTTTTTTTGCAGATGACAAAAAAAAATGGTACTGGTGTTAAGGAAATATATCCCGGGTTTCGAACTCGTGACTTTGGGACGAGAGTGAAAATTACGAGAAACAATAAGGTGGAAATAACCAGAGGAAAAATTTGTGACGCTAATGTCTCTTCAGCTGAAGAAAACACCGGAAAATTGTCCAGCATAAATAAGAAATTGTCTAACGAGTCTAAAAAAAATTTGTTCAGCTTGTATGAATATTCGCTTTTACTTTAGGACACAACGTTAAGGTATACTGAACCTGCGTCCCTGAGATTCCAAAGAGACACAGTCGCCAAAATGCCATGAAAATTACCGATAATGTCACACAAATTATATCTATTTACAGATCAAAACATAAGTTATCGAAGCAACGTCCTTCAGATAACACATTGTTAGCATATTCTCAGAAATTAGTCTCATCATGGACAACAAATGCAAGGCGTCGAACCAGTGTTCTTGAGGTCTTCTTACGAGTATCAGGAAGTTTGTAAACATAGCCAGGCGAACATAATGTATATCTTGTAAAATCGTCCCCCAAAAAATACCCCGATTAATACCCGGAAGAAAATACCATGAACAACACCTTCAAGAAAATACCGGGAAGAAACTAGCCAAGAAAATTACTGCACACACCCACTAGCACGGTACCCATATCAGTGACTTGTAAACATGCAAATGACCGCCATAAAAACACAATACAAATATTAAACGCTCATAAACAACACACACACACAAACAACAAACACACACAAACAACAAACACACACAAACTACAATAATTATATCTATCATTATGACAAACCGAAAAACACCATCGAACCAACATCCTTGAGATGAAAGTGAAACATGTGATCGTAAACGCCAATACAACTCACCACAATCATTAAAACAAACTACCAAAAAAAAAAAACCACTGTATTTTCCTGTGTATAAAACGCCAACACCGGGGATCGAACCAGTGTCCTTGAAAGTATGAAATAACGGTATAGAGAAAACTGGATCTTGCTACACCCAACCTTATTGCCGGGTTGTAAACACTGCCAGTCTGACGGATGGAAAGACGGCCGAGTGTTTAACGATTCGTGGATTTATGAATGATTAAATTAAAATTGTGGATTGAGATGGATAAGACTTTGAGTATTTGTATTATTTTTTTTATTTTTTTGCAGTATGTGTCTATCTATCTATCTATCTATCTATCTATCTATTAGTATATAGTGATGAAGCCATACGTAACAATTCTAGCACCATCAACATGTTAAGTCGCATTAACTATCCACAACGCTCTCTCCTCTTGGATATATTTAACCTTATTCTTGGTGGATCTTGAACTTCTTAAATACTTTACCTCAATATATCGTAAACATTCGCCCTAAATAACTCACCACTTACCATCGGGCGTATATTTTAAACATTTTTGATTTGCTGTAATATATTTTTTAGCTCTTTGAAGGACTCTACGCTATATTTCACGGATATTAGAGGTGTTAAGTATACAGTACTGTCACTCGGCGTCGTAGAACTCTCAATCTCCTGATGAATTACCTACAGCGAATATTATTGTTATTTGGGGGATTATTGCGTAGTGTTGTTACTTGTCCTTCAGGAGAATTAATGTATTACTTCCGCCTTCTATGATCCCTAAATCACCACCTTCACCTACAGGAAGTACTTTATCTGGGTTCCCATGTATAGCTCTATAAGCCTTCCTCAGTCACTTGATGTCATTCTCGTAACGTAACAAAGTGATATTGAAATTACAAATATACAGTCAAATCTCCCATTGGCAGACTGTGTCCTCCGTTTCGCTGTGGTTTTCTGCTTATATAGAATCATCATGGGTAATAGGAGCACTCAGGGGTAAAATCCGCTATGTGAGGCATCTCCTTCGTTATCAGTATGTTCAGCGCATCAGGTATACCTTAATGGGCGAGCGCCGTGTGGTAGCCAAACGTGTTGTGTTTCACTGCTCTCGTGCTGATTAGCTTAAGTGATAAATAAACTTGGTGGTGGTGGTGTCGTGCCCATTATGTTCTCTATGCTAATTGGTGATATTTCTTACACCAAGATTTCAATACACATTTTCTTGAGATATTCAGAGATATACATTGTGTGGACCCAATACAGAACATGTAGTCTTACGGCGTGTTGGTGTGGCGAAAAACATGTGTAAAACCGTGTCATAAGATAAGGTTGTCCGGGAATATTACAAGAGATAGACAGCTGTTCAAGGAAAATTATTAGTTGTCCACGCCGCCTGATGACTTCAACTTATACTTTAAGTTTGTGAGATACAGTACGCCATAACACACTTTAG